ATTACATAGAAAAGGTGCAAATAATCTCATACTTTATTCAATTTGGTTCATCATCATTATAAAGAACGTTTCAATACTTAATAACAAGTATAATACGATATCTATTAATTGTATCAAAGATGTCATTATACAAAATTGTTATATAATTCTATTATATAATAAAATCACCTTGACACAGATACCACATCCAATGCACAGTTCCTCCGAGATGGCTGCTATTTTACTGTTTGGATTAACTTCTATACAAAGTTTTCCCATTCGTACTACGGGACAAGATCTCTTGCATTCTTGCCTACATCGTTTAGGTTTACACTTATCTGAATTCACAATCGTTATACGGGTCAAACGATCCGTCTCCTCCATTGACTTTTTTGGTGGCATGATGACGATGATAGACTAATTTAGGGAAAAAATATAGCTTGACTGTATAATAGACAAATTAAAAAATAAAGTACATCATGAATATATCATAAGGCAAGACAAAAAGCATACAACAAAATTCTTGAAAAATAATGTGAGGTAAAATAATAAGATGACAAAAACAGATAAAACATATAAATATAAAACAAATTAGAGAATAATTTAAAAATCTGTCCCAGGTGACATATTTTAGTTTAATATTTATGAGCTGTTTAGTTGATAATTCACATTGTACATCTCGCAACATGTGGAGTAAACTTGAACAAGCAAAAAAAAAATGAGGACTAAGCAAACAAACAAACAAAAAACCTGGAAAAGTAAAAAAATTGCATTAAATTGTCAAACTGAACGGATTTTAATTATCGCAATCGTAAAAGCTGTTAATCCCATGCGACTTCTAACCTCAAATCGTAAATGACAAATTCGAAATGCTACCGAAATAAATATCAACGCTATTGTGATGTGTATAGGGCTAGGGCATACACACGTGTGTGTGCCTGGTGTGCCATACAAACAATAAAAAAATTATTGGAATAAACAGTTGTCACGTGACCTCTTGCATGCGCGTGCGGCCACTGAGCATGCGCATATGGCCACAAGGGCATGTTCGTACTGTTCGTACTGTTCGTAGTCGCCACCAGTCGCCACGTCGCCACATGCCACATCTCGACAGGTCTCATAACCTGTTAATCAGAGCGACACTTTTTTCTGCTAGATTCGGTTGTTTTGTGCAAAAACGCGTCGATTAAGCCTAAGTTCAACGAAATCGGTGAGAAGGCCACTATTCTTCTGATTTACCTACTATTACTTTACATTTTCCATCTTTTTTAAGAGAGAGAATATGACATCCAATTATCATTCCTCACATTGCGAGAATGATGTCAGGTATCCTTATACTGATAGAGTAGCGGTAGGAGAGGATTATGTTGATTTCATCTATCAATTTGTGAAGGATAGCAATATATCCACAAAGGACTGTAAGAATACTGCTAGCATAAGTAATATTCGTAATAATATAATTGGAACACCTAGCAATTTTCCAAACCATGAAGATTTTCTTTTGGTATGTGTATTTTCCGTTCTGTAGATAGTATATAATCGCAAAATCTAATTTATGCTACAACATTTGGTAATATTCAGTACTTTTTTTAATCTTTAATACTAGGAGACGTATAATTTCGATATTTCAATATCTCCATGGCAGAAACAAGTGCCATATACTTTTGTAGAAGTGTTTGACAGAGATTATTATTTTCATTATATTGGTATGTAACATTTGAATTGATAAATAAGATATTGTTAAGGAAAATGTTTGTGTTCAGAAAAGGTTATAATTTTTATTTTGAAGATCTCGAGTTTCATGAAGCTGTATATCCAATCAGAATTTCTATATATGAAGTATATAATTCTGGGAACGTAACTGAAGTTTGGGCTCAAGAATCTGAAGATGAGGGTCGGTGGATTTTATTATGGGATGGACCGCCTCAATTCTACCATGGCGAGCCAAAATTTTTCAAACGTAGACGGATATTTTCTCCAGCTTTACAGTCTTGTAACTTTAAAACTAAAATGCTCAGACTACAATTTGTATCCAACTGTTGCACACAGCTAGATGCTGTGATGCTGATCGGGACATCAAAATTGATTTTTCCTAAAAATCCTGAAGATAAGAGTATAACTAATCTCTTACACCGCATTCAGGCACAACAACATCCTGAAAAATTCTCAAGAATTCCTGGGACAATTTACAGGGATTCCTATATATTGGAGGACACTTTTAATACAACACGTGATTATGAAAATGCGTACTTGGATATTCTTGATCTTCAAAAGGAATTTCCTAAATATTGCGTTATTTATAAAAGGTATTATAATTGTCGACATTAAGTAATTTTATATTATTTTCTTAACACTGCGCGGATACTGTGGGACTTTTAAGGCATAGTCGATTTTTCATTTATGATTCTCACGGGAATGGCTTCAGCGCTTACGTTGACTCTCCTCCATAAAAAAACTTGGTGATAGTGGGCATGTAACTGCCAAGCGGCATTGAGGTTCGTCAGTTGCGCGATACCGAGCAAACAAAGTGTAGTGTGTGCCTCGAAAGACTCAGGGTGTCCACCTCGGATGTTAAACGGCAGAAGGAACAGCATGTTACGCTCGGCGTGTCGCGGCTACACGGATGGAGGAGCTTGTCCGTTTGCTGTGCCTTGCACAGCCATGCCCTCCACATGCTGTAGCATGCTATTCCGTCTGCCGCCTAGCATCACTGACTCTACCTCGTTAATTTTGTCCGCGAATAAGTAATTTTGCATTTTACGTGTTTTTTTTTTTTTCAATATTGATCTTACTTATAAATAATAAATAAGAAGTAACCTTTAAAAAAAAAATAGCATTGCTCTTGTCTTCAAATCTCATTTTTTCTGTATACCGAAATTACCAATTTTTAAGTGCTTTAATAATTCAACTTTTTTTTAGGTTCTCTTCGTGTATTTTTCTTTCAAGTACCATTATTGAACTATAAAACCCTTGAACAATTTTTTTTAGTCACACATTTAAAAAATATGCTATTATTTAAACTCGCATTTTACAGTTTTCTTTTAACGTTTCGACACTTAAAAAAGAAATTGCAACAGTTTCGACTTATGTAGAAATCACTTTTTGAAATCTTAAAGATGATACAACGAATTTTTATAGATTTTTTTAACATAGAGACGCTTTTAAAAACGCCGTCCGCGTAGTGTTAATAATGAAAATAAATTTGTGTTCCAATGTTATTTGCAGCGACATAGCAACGAGTTTTCACAAGAGCAAGCTCGCGCACAAGCAAGTATTTCGGGAGGAAGATGTGATATCTTCTAAGCAGGGATATGTGAATCACCCTTTATTAAGAAATAATTGGAATTATGTAAAATTTATAGAAGATATCAAACTTTCTTCAGAAGAATCCAAGGAGCAACGTGACAGTTTTTCTGCGCTTTCTGTAAAATATTCGAAGTTTATTTCTCGTAATAATTTATTATAATACATAATCTCATGTATTAAAATTTTATATTTTGTTTTTGCAGGATGAAATAATACTAATAATATTAAAATATTTGGATATGAGATCGTTTTGCCGTATGAGCAAAGTAAATAAACGCCTCAATAATTTAACACAGGATCCTTTTCTCTTCAAATGTTTGAACTTACGAAATTTACAAAAAAAATACTCTTCATCCTTCTGTTATGATAAAATTCTGTTTTATTTTGCATCCAAATGTAAATATTTGCAACAGTTGGATCTTACAAAAAGCTGCATTTCTGCTACGGATTTCGTAAACTTTCTTCAGAGTTGCGGCGATTGTTTAACGCACTTACGATTAAGTGGCTGCAATTTTGTTGACAAATTATCTCTATTAAAAATTTCAGAGATATGCAAAAATTTAAAAGGTACATAAATAAATATGATTGTTAAGATTACAGATAAACTGTATATGACTAATATATACATTTTTTGGGTTTTTTGTTTTTAGAATTGGATCTCAGTAATTGTACTCTGGAGGGAAAGGAAGAAGAAGTTTCGATTCCCGAAAATCTAGAATTTCTAGAGAAATTAGATCTTAAAGGCTCTCATATAAGAACTGAATCTCTTTGCAAAATACTGCAAAAAACTCGCCGGATGCGTAACTTAAATCTGAGCATGCCTGCTTCTCAGTGTTATATACACCGACGAGATTTAGACGCAATTATAATACAGTTAAAAAATTCGTGTCCAGACTTAGAAATAATAGATTTATCGGACTGTTACAGTATTATTACATCACGAGGTATTCATGCCCTCGCTGAATGCAAGAATTTACGAAAACTGACAATGATGGACAAGTACGTGTGTGCTACATTTTCTTTTAAAACACATATTATTCTTTATCAAAATGTGTATTTACATTTCTTGCAAACATTATGAAACGGTTATGTTGTTTTTCTTATTGCGATTGAAAAACCGCATATTAACATGACTTTTGTTACAGGATAACATATTGCAAAATCGATAAGCATAGCTTGCATAGATTGTTTTCCTCCTGTCAATGCTTAGAAGAAGTCAATTTGAGAAGTTCCGATACTTCCAATATGATTTTCAATCGCAATGTCTATGAAGCTCTGACACTGTGTAAAAACTTAAGACGAATATACTTGGATTATATGTCGGGTTATACTTTCGCAATTCTCGAGCAGTGTCCTAAACTGCAAACAATCTATGTAATGCGGAACGGGTTAGACGACACGCGTGATAGTCATCAGACACGATTCGTTGCTAAGGCGAAGGAATATTATCCACACGTGTCCATTCTTGAACATCAAAAGGGACCAACGGTGCTGAAAGGAAGGTCAGGATGGTACTACTAAAAGAGACAATTTTCGGGTTAACCCTAGACAGACTCACTGGGGTAATACGTTACCCCACGCGAAATTCAAATTCGCATTATTTCAGCCAAATTTTTGGTTCTTTGTTTTGTTCTTCGAAATTTTTTTACTGTTTTTTTTTACTACCGCAAATTGATGACTACTATCGTCTTCCCTATTAAACTACAAACAAAATTATCTATTATAAAGTTTTCTAAGAACATTCTGGAAATACTATACACGCGGTACAAGTTTGGGGTAACGTATTACCCCAGTGAGTCATTCACGTATGAGAAAAATAAGTGAGTCTGTCTAGAGTTAAGAAATATGCTATATCGGCAGGGTACAAGTACATACATGAGCATCGGAGAGAGCATCCGCAGTGATGTAAAAGTGCGCAAAATTTGAAATAAATAAGAGTTTTGAAATAATTCTTGTATATCTCTACATATAGTATAAAAAAAATTTAGAAGTAGGCGGAGAAGGGCCTCTCTTCCCTCTGCACTCCCACACCCCCAAAAAATCTATCCAAACCCAAACCTATTTCTGACAAACTGAAATTTGATTTTGCACTTTTAATCCATGCAGTATCATGCAAAAATAATTTCTTGCGATAATCTCATCAGTTTGCAGACCATGAACCATATCTGCAATCATTCTTTCGTTAAACTTATTATTTTTAAATTGAATTGGCAAGTTCTTTAAAATTTTGTTTCCTTGTTTTGATTAACACCTTATTCGTTTAGACCTTTGGCTTAAATCATTGAACCCGATTGACTTTCCGACTTTATACAAATTTGAACCCATTCGTTTTTTGTCACTTGAATATTTTTATACGAGTTTTGAAGCTTTTCAGGATAGGTATTAGAGGAAAGTCCTCTATTATGAGACAGGATCCTAATATGAGATATGTTAAGCTAAAAGGCCCTATATAGATCCCATCTGTTGATCCCACTATGAAAAAAGCCATCTCATATTAGGAACCTATCTCATAATAGGGGATTTTCCTCTATACTCAATTCTTTTTAAAATTATTTTAAATCCTTTGTCTTGTGAAAGTCATTCATAACTGTGATATGTATCACTAGTTTGGAATTTTTATAATTCTTTACATACAAAACGCAATTCTTCCAGCTGCTTTTGTTTTTTTTTGCTTGTGAAAAGCTCTTTCTGATTGAGCTAATTTTTCAGTTTGTAAATATTTCGCAAATGGATACTTTAGCGACAGAATTTTTTTTGTACGTGTCTAATTTCATCTACTGAACAGCATTTGTCCGAAGCATCTCTTCTTTGTGAAACTGAACTGTTTGTAGTGCATCCTTATTTTTTGTATTTTGCGGATTGGAAGTATATAATCACTATATAAGATTTATTCTATATTAGTGGCTGGTCAGTTGTGGATGTAATACGGTACATTCTTCATTGACATAAATACACAAAACTGCGACATGTTTGCACTCTTGTATAGATGATAGATCAGCCTTATAAGCGCAATAACAGTTTGAAATGAAACAATCGTTTCAGAACTAAAAAACGTATTTATAAGAAATTTTTTTATAACTGACGAAAATATAATTTATTTTTTTACAATTTCGAGAAAATATATTATTTTTTATAAAACGGAAAATATGTTATTATTGCAGTAGTCCAAAATGGTTACATTTAAAAATTATATTATTTATGAACAGTAGTTTTATTTAACTGATCGTTTCTAATATTTCTTAAAAAATTAACTTCAATGTCTTTCAATTCACAAATTTGATAATACTTCAATTGTGATTTTATATTATTTAGAGATTATTTTAGCGATTTATCGACAGAATCGGAAGAAGCAGCAGCAGCGTTGAAGCGACAATTAAAGGCAAAGAAAAGTTAACCACGATTTTTATTATCAATGCCAATGTTCCCGAAAGGATTCTCGGGAAAGTATCTTGATGATAATTTGAACGTAGATATAGTTCAGGATGTACAGAAAGCTGTCGAAGTGATGAAAAAAGTAATAGAAGATAATGCTGATAAAAGTAAAGCTAATAACGCCGCAATTCAAAAAAGACAACAAAAATTAAAACCTCAAAAATTAAAAAAATTCAAAAAGTTAAAAAAGACATAAAATATATATTTTTTTCATACAAACAGAATCATTGTTTTTCTTTTTACATTATTGTTCTATTTCTGTAGACATTTTTGGATTTAATAAAAATTAGACAAATTTTATTTTGACGCAAGTTACGCTTACATTTGTAATTAATTTGAGCGAATCGTTGTTCTAAGAAACATTTCTAAAGCGCGTTCTTATCCCAATTGTTAGTACATTAATAGTATGGCAAAGATATATACAGAAGATGTCTGTATTTTTCTACAAAAATACTGGTAATTTTTTAAATATGGTTTCTAATATAATACATCTCGATAGAAAGTTGATCGTACGCGTAGTGCGCGCGATAAACACAGCCGGTTTGTCTACACTTTAGGGATTTCCATACATTAATGTCTCGAGTTACAACGAAATCTCTTTCATTTGCGTATGAGCATCATAATTGTATTTTGTATATCATCTTAATTTTAGAATACAGTATTATAGATCACTTCGTCCTCTGTACTGATGATCGAGTCAATTTGTTCGCCTGTTACCATTGAGTTCATATATCTTTCATTGCTGATCACGTTGTGCGCCCCAAAAGACGAATCGTTGCCCTGCACGACGATCCTGATTCGCGCCATCACGTGGCTTCCCGGGCATTTCTGCGCCTGGTTCGCCGTCGCGGTATCGCAGATCTCGGCATAGATTTCCTCGGTTTTGTTGTTGCTGGTCCTGACCAGCTTCGGTAGTGACGGCAGCGGCGTTAGACTGTCCCTTACGTGAGAGTAATTAGGCTGTAGCTCGACGCACGGTATTTCCAACACGCTGGTTGATACGGATCTCTGTACCGGCTGCTTGGTGTTTCGATTCTGGCTGGTCTGATGAGAGGTAGTTTCCGGTTCTAGACTGGAGTAACGCTCCTGAGATCTCATGGCTATCTCCGGCCTCACCGCAAACGTGAACGAGGCCGATTTCTTCGCGGGGTTTCGATTTCTGTTACCCTGAGTGAGTTTCGAGATTCTGTCCAGAATACCGTTCCCGGTGCTCTGCTTTGTCTGTTGGTTCCGTTCTTTGACGGAACTCCGCTTCAGGTGCTCCAGCCCGTCCTTCAGGCTCTGCAAAATTGGCTTGGTCTCTGATTTTGGCTTGATCTTTTTCAGATGCATTTCCTTCAAGCTGTCCACGGTCGGCGGGTGCAACTTCGTGGGCGCTACTCGCGGTTCCGTTGCTCGATCTCCAACCGTTTGGCTAAAGTAGAAGAACAGTTTAACCATGCAGAATAGAGATTCTGGTGTAACGAGCTAACGGTTCATATTTTTTTCGCGATACGGTAAACACTGAATAGAAATTTTTAAAAAAGTCCGAATGTTAAGAAAATAGAATTAGACGATTTTACTTGAACAATGAATAACAAATAAAGAATGTCACTTAATTTTTATTTATAACATTCGTTGATTAAGGAGGTTCTACAGGTACTCTTTAGTCAGTTGAGAGATGAAGAGAAAATCTTCAAATTCATCGATTCTAAGTATTCATAAAATATTTTCGTGAATTTTGATGACGTTAGAGCTTATATCATACCCATATTAGTCGAAGCGAGGAATAATTAAAAATATCGTGTAAGTGCTCCTTTGACTCTGGCGGCTTATAATGGAAGAAAATGTGGTAACGTCGCGAACTTGACAGTTCTGCTCATATGACCGTTATTTCACAATTTCACATAATTCTAGAGTAGGTACTTCTCCGTAAGCGCTCGTAAACGTTAGGTGCTTAAGTTTGAGGTGCTGTCATACTGTGGTGCTGTACTGGCTGTACACTTTTCGCGCGGGTGCAGTCGCTGCGACATTGTCAAATCTCCCTTGTTATTCGAAGCACGCTACGTGAACTGTGATATGGCCTGTTTCAATAGCCAATATCACAAAACTTTACGCGATAACCCTAGTTTTTCTCGATATTTCTGAAAAGGTTAGATTAAGATCTATAAGAGCTCCGTTTTTTTAATCTCTGGTAGGTCGTCTTTATATAATTAATATCTCGTTTCCTGTCTCCAAAAGCCCCTCTGCCATATGTAGCTTATGTTAAAAACTGTGATTTCAAAATTCATTTTTGCAAATTTTTACACGGTAACCGATGCTAAAATTTTTCGAGCACTTTTCTCGCATCTCAATTTATACGTCCATAAAATTTTTTCCAATTTTCAGATACATCCATTATCTGTAGAACCTCCTTAATTCGCGCAATACTGAACAACTTTTTACTGAAAAAGAGTTGCTTTTGCTTCACTTAAACTCTATTAATGACTTTACCTGCAAGCTGATAGTAATCGTTGCATTTTCGGGGAGGCCAGCAATCTCGCTTCCGAAGGGTAACCCAATCGAGCTCTTCGCACTCTTGGTGCTCCGTTACCGGTCACGACCAATTCGAGCATTTCCGGATTGTGCACCGGTCTCTCAGGAACGACGCAGCCCAATACTATCGGACCACGCGTCGATGTCTCCAGTTGCATTAGACCGCCGTACTCCTTTGGCAATGGCACTGGCAACGGTCCCGCTATCAATCGTACCTGAAGAGAAAAATTTATTTAATCATAATTTTGAATAAGGGAGAATTATAAAATATAATAAAAGAAAATAGTTTTTCGGTATATTTTAATTATTGAAAGCGTTAATTCGTAAATGCGACTCACTCTGAGAGGCAGTTGTCTCTTGGCGAGGTGATGAACCTTGTAGAGCACCGCGTCGCTTCCGGTGTCGACGCTTCCGCTCTGACAGATCGCATAGAACTCGCCTCTGGTCGACAGCGAGGCGAACACCTCTTGTCCGTGAAGGTCGATGCATTGCGCGTACTGGTCTTTTTCGGGGCAGCCGCCGGAAATGCTGAAGGAGACCGAGCTGCATCGCCTCGTATCCTGGAAGACCGCCACGAGTCGTAATATCTCGCCGGCTCTGATTGTCGTCTTCGTGTAATGGGCCCGCAGATTTCCATTCTCTGAAAGCACGCGAGTGCAAAACTTGATGAGCGCAAATTGCAGCGACACTACTTGCATATGTACAAAGTACGTCGTGCAACTTCGTCTTCGCCGATTAAGTTGCACGCGGTTGTCCCGTTAACAACGCGTCGAATTTCAAAGGAAGCCTGGCATAATCAATCCTAACAGTCGTATCCCAAAAGCATCCTTAACGGTACCAAATAGTGTCAAAAGGTGATAGAAGTCCTTTTCAGTCATGTCCGATGGTCTCGTGCCGATATGTATCTAACACTAGAGTCATAGGCTGATCACTAACCACGCTAACCGTTACTCGTTTTCTTGCTGATATTCTCGTTTTAACGAAGTCTCAGTTTTATAAACGCGGCAGTTTCCATAAATCTGTTACATCCTGTTAGTGCGTATCATCGGTAATTATTATCCTAATTTACATCATTTTGACGTTTAGCAGAAAAGGGTTCGAAACTTCCTTTTTCGTTTCTTTCATGGTTTTAACATGATTGCATAGCAGGGAATATTTTTACGGGCGTAGATATGTAAATGGAGTTGTTATCCGCATAAAGGTTGAAACTTAAATTTTAATGGATCGGCGCTTCTCGAATATCTATTTTAAATTTTTATCCATTTATTTTAGAATTTATATAACTTTCTACTTCTTCGTTGCTTAAAGTATCTATGCATTTAAATTACGAAGAGTGGCAATTTGCACAATCGTAAAAGAGATAATTCCTACTATTTTCGAGCATATGTTTTTGCTTAGCACGAAGCAAGCAAGATTAAAAGAAAAAGAGGGAAGAGAGACAGAGAGAAAGATAGCATCTTTGTGCGCTGCATCGCTATTCTTATGCATCTAGGTCAAGAACGTTGCACCGTTTGACATTTCGCGAGCGATCGCTCGCGGCACTTTCTAGCTTCATTGCCCGTACTTACCCATTTTCGAGTGTGTCAACGTGTAGCCTCTCAGAGGTGTCGCCAATAGAAAAGCAGGTACCCCCGTCTTCACCAAGGAATCTATCCTTCGATAGACGCGCGCGCTGCCCGTCGTGTTATTGCCAGATATCACAGAAAACCATCCTGAAAAGAGTTAGGAAACGTTAAATGTCTTGCGGAGGACTGTACAATAAAAGGCATATAGCGTATCTTTTCGACTTCAATAGCAATTTGACACGGTTATTAATGAGCAGAATAAACATTATGAAACTGTTCTTCATGGAACTATTCACTAGCAAATTATTACACGAACAACAAGCCCAAATATTTTTTTGCCGAAAAATACTTTTAATTAACCTAATATTTAAAATAATAAAATTTAAAGAATACTTTTTATCATCTAATATTTGAATTATACTTAATATTTATGAAGTACATTTTATATAAAGTATAATTAAATCTTTATAATCCTACTTTGAGACTGATTTTAGTTATAAAAAATTATATATTCATGCAATGTGTTTGTAATAACAGCTGTTTCAGCAATATAGATCGTTATATATAAGGCTTTGAGTCGGACATAGAGAAAAGAATCTACACCTCGTTTCTTCTCTGACGGGAGACTCAAGGCTGAATTTTTGTTAATCGTAGCGAGAACGATTAGGACCGGTCGGCATCTGCCGACATAGCGGTGTACATGCGCGCGCGCGCGAGTGTGCGGCCTCAGGATGAGTTAAAAAACGTATCTATTATATTTGGCAAGAAGGAACTATGTGAAGTTCCAGTCAGATCGTAAAGAAAGCCGCCAAATTGCGAACAGGCGGATTTCAGGCGCGCTGCAGTAGAGACACAGTAGTCGAGTGGTGGTCGATCGGCTGATCGAAGGTCAGCAGGTTCTTTTTCTCGTTGCTAATTGATTTAAGAATGCCGCCCTGATGTGAGCGCGTGTACTCGAATCCTGTCCCTTAAGAATTGCGCCGGAATGCTATCCAGGCTGTGGCAGTCCCTGAGGTCCTGAATCCATCTCCGACGAAAGCAAAAGTTAGATACCTTAACTTTATAAAGCAAGCAATTTTCAGAGATATTAAAAGATTATCAAAGTTATACTTAACAAAAGCACCGCAAGTAACCATGCAAAGATAATCATATAAAAAAATTATTTGACCCGAAATATCATTTTCATTATTTCAGAGTCTGAGATCTTAAATCCATCTCCGATGAAAGTAAAAGTTACCTCGATTATCTCTTTAACAATTTTCAAAGAAATTAAAAGATTGTTAAATAAGTCGAATTTAATAGAAGCATCACAAATTACCATATAAAAATAATTAATAAGTAATAAATCAATATAAATAATTTATTTGGCCTAAATATGATTTTCAGAACAATATGTTTTATTTTCATTAGTTATCTTTGTATTTTATATTTTATCTATTTTCTTAGTCAAATGGAAAAGCGTCGAAGAGATTCAGTGAACGTTTGCGAGTTGCATGAAGAGGAAAAAGGAAGCGTAAAGGGGGGAAGCCAGTTAGTTTCCCTTGGGAAAGTTTTTCCGTTTCCAGTTTACGTGCGCACATTAATTCGTGTTCGAGGTTAACTGATGGAATAATCTAAGGGACTTGGCGGCGCTCCCGGTTTTTGTTTGTTCTAGATCAACGACCTGGAAACCCAAGTGCGCGCAATTAGACGGATGGTATTGGATCTCCTCGTTGCGTTCTTGAGAATACCTCGAAGGGAGCTAATAGGTGGGTTCCCTCAGTCGTCCCTCGGCAGAAGGACGGCTTCTGGATCCGGGAACGGGAGCGTGTACTCCGGAAAAGAAATGTTGCAAAGGCGTGTGGCTCGCGCACGCAGTTGCATAAGCTTTACGCGCGTACGACCTTCCCTCACTTTCCATTTCCAGCGTGCGCATCCGCCATAGCCACGCGAGCGGGCGAGCGAACGCGTTCAGGTCGTAATTATACAGATTCGCCGCATCCGCTGCGAAAAATCTACGGAAAAGTTCAGGCATTCAGTTACGCACGGCAAGAGCGGTTTCCTAACGCGTCGCGCGACTGCGTATATCTCATTGTCTTGCGTAATTGCGAGATCGCGCGCGCCTAATGATTCACGTAATGAAGCGCACGTTTCCCTCGGAGTTTTACCCGGACAACCAATTTTTCCGACATTTAGTCGGCAGTCGTTGAGAAGAGTGTAGTTGAAATATAAAAATATACACGTAATAAATAGCTATACATGCAATGTGTATGGAGATTGTGTAGAAATTCAATAATATAATTCTATTTAATATAACGGAACTAATATATATATAATCTGAAGATCAATGTATAGCTAAGTATAAAATTTAATATATATAGTTTATTAATTCTTCCCTTTAATTCTGTACGCTTATAGAAAATATACACGCTTTGCTGAATAAACACGAGATGATAGTGAGCGGTCGTTTCGCATGAAACAGTCAGCTGAATGTTCCTGAAAATCCGTTTCATCCCGTCGTTTTTAACGCATCACCGCTGCAACGCATGTGTTTACGATTCAAAGTTCGTTGGTGCCATAACTCCATAAAATGCTGGCCCGTTACCGAACGGAACACGTTATATTCACGGCACGTGTCAGAATTTAATGCTCGGGCGTTGCTTGGGATAAAGGATAGCGCCGCGTATTTCCGGAATCTTAGATATGTGTATATCAGTGCCGAGATCTAACATCTCAACGACGAGATTATATTCGAATTCTGTGTGCTTTTCTACAAAAAACATTTATACCTTTGAATCAATCAGGGATTTACATTTTTCTGGAAAATTGTTATCTAAGATAAACTTTAAGATTGGAAATAATATTTTCTTTATCAAAGGATATGCTCAAGTTATTAAACATTTAAAAAACCTATTTCTGTATGCAACAAAAAATGTCACTTTCACGCTTTGTATCATGCCGCCTTGATGACAATCAAAGAAAAGGTTGCAGCAACCGGAGCAAGGAATTGGACATTGACCCGTGGTTCAGGTGCGCTCGCAGGAACTGCGTTAAGCGCGTTACACCATGTCTCAAGAATTCATCCTAATTCCTGTCTGGCTTTATGGTATGAAAGGAAAGCCTCCTTTCAATGGAACGGATAATAGGCTTCGCCATCGGTGCACGTGGCTCGGTATCTGTGACGTAGATATTATGTTTTTGTCTAAACACCTGGAAATCCGGTTGCGATGAATATGGCATAAACATGTGATTTATCATGATTAATCTCGCAACATTTAATAAGTAGGCCAGAAATTATATTTATATTTTGTTTTTTATTTATTCACAAGATAATTATCATACAGCTACTTGTCGACATGTATTTGTTGCAAGCCCCGAATTTCGAGTAGATTTTTTGTTCGTCCCGAACCGTGGATTCTGGTTAATTATAGAAACGTGATTGAATGGCAGATTGTACATAAGATGCCCGCAGGGGGAATTCATCCGCGCAGTTCTTTGGGCTTAACGCGCCCACGGATTGACCCGAGTTGACATTCACGCACAGATACACGAGACACACCCACAATTACACGTATCCATTTTAAAATTACCTATTACACCTGTTTAGACCGAAGGCAAGGTATATGGACCAGGTGGAGAAGGATCTCAAGAGTTTGGAAGTCAGGAACTGGAGAGGGAGAGTAAAGAACAGGTCGGAATGGAGGGACCTCTTAGAGCAGGCCAAGACTCATAAAGAATTGTTGAGCCAAAGCTGATGATGATTACACCTGTTTATGGGTGAAGTACTGCCCGATGCCAAAAATCTAAGAAGTGAAGTGAAGTGCACATAACATTGGTGACAGCGATGAATAGAATCGGGACTTCTTCTCTCCCTCCTACGAAAAAGGAGGGATTTCAGCTTCCATGTTTAATGAAAATCCATTCGGCCAGTATCAAATGAAAATTGTATAGCAATGCAAAGGTCAGTTAGGTTTATCGAGACTTAAAAAAAATTATGTAACCGAAACGGCCACACCGTTAACAACTAGTTTACGTCCCTACTAAAATATCGGGAATACTTCGTTGCGAGAGATCGCCGGTGATCGGCGTGACATTCCAGATAAACATTGTGATATTGAGATGCGCGATATATGTGTTTAGCCGGAGCATTAAGTAAGGGAGACCACAGCCTACATCTCGCGGCTGGAATCTTTATTGTGCATAATTCACGTTACGCCGCGAGAGACCAATCATTCGGGATATAATATTACTCGAACGTGAATCGAACCGTGACAATAGTATATGGTTGCCGGACTATGTTATCGATGATACCCCGCTGCAGCATAGCGGAGTAACGTGTCTGCTATACTCCATCATCGGCGATATATCTTTATGGGATATTTGTTAAAAGCCAATCCAATGGTCAATATTTTTAACTCGGATCTCCTCTAAAATCCTAATTAAATCACTGCTTATACAGCATCGCTATAGCATCCTATTATACAACATTGATTTGTTTCGATGTCTTCGAGTGCGGAGATATTTATTAGTGATTGAAAGCGAAAAAGAAAAGGAGGAATTAAAAGTAGAAACGCGAAGGAGAATTTGTCGTCGTGACAAATCGCGACCAAGAGGTATCGGCAAGAGTAGTAGCAGCGGCATTAGCGGTACCAATCGGTAATATTGGTAATAGACCGGAGAACATGGCGATAGAGCGCGATGGGGAGCACAGATCGAGCGCGATTTATTGTCTAGTCGCTCTTATAGATTTTGTCGTTTTGCAGAAGTTGGACGGTCGGCTTACGGATGGCCGCGCGTTTCGAATAGATTGAATCCTTCCTCGCTTCTGTCTCTCCCTTTGTCGTGGGATCGGTTCCGCACAGTCGATGCCGGCCGACGCGCGATACTCTAGAGAGTTATACCCTGGCACGTAATGACCGTTATTTAAAACCGAGGGAGGCCGGTCATCGCCGAGGGCGCGTCTGGCCCGCGCAACATTCTTGTCTCGTCGTAAGACCTCGTCCGAGAGGTCTGCGCGAGCAAATAACGATATATATATATATATATATATATATATATATATATATATATATATACATATCTATGTACGTGTATATATACACATCTTACGGATATATAAGAGAGAGAAAGAAAGAGAGGGAGAGAAAGAGCCGAGACATCTGCGCCGG